TGGTCTTTCAAAACTTAAATGGGGCATAAAGAAAGATGGAGAGAGACTTTTTACCAAGGCCTGTAGTGACAGGGGCAGCAGTTTTAAACTGAAAGAGAGTAGTGTTAGATTGACATTAAAGAAAAAAAAAATCATTATGAAGTTGGTGAGGCACAGGAACAGGTTGCCCAGAAAAGCCATGGAAGCCCCATCCCTGGAGGGGTTCAAGGCCAGGCTGGATGGGGCTTTGAGCAACCTGGTCTGGTGGGAAGTGTCCCTGCCCATAGCAGGGGGGTTGGAACTAGATGATCTTTATGGTCCCTGCCAACCCTAACCATTCTAGGATTCCCAAGCCTTGGAAATACAAACGCTGTTAACGTTCTGCTTCGTGCCTCCAGCCCTTCCTGAACCACAAGTCTCTGTTTCAGTGCTGCAGTTTAACTCCCAAAGTCTCTGCGATGCCCATCAACCATTTTTGACGCAGATTGACATGAAGTTCCTCCAGCGTATTCCTCACACCAGTGTACAGACATTTTAGCTTAACATGTTGTTCCATTGTCTCTCCTGCCTCCTGTCCCAGCTCCCCTGAATAATTCATTCACATCAATGAAATACATCAGTCTGTCAGGACACAGTGTTTCACAGCAGAAGCTAAGACGACCCAAAATTTCAACCCTCTCTACCATGTGGATTTGAGCCCTACAGGCTAGAAATAACAAACATTGATTGTTTTGTTTCTCTTGGCTAGAAATGCTGTTTAGGAGTCACAAATCTCTTCTGAAAGGTTATTTGTAACTAGCACACTTCCATGGAGAAAGTTTCTGAGAAATCAGTATTTTTGACTGACCAGACAACCAACTTTTCCCTACCATCTGCCAAAACACATCACTGGAAGAAGGCAGGTCAGCTGATAAGAGGACCTTAGAGCAGACAAAACACTCTCCAGGGAGTACATTGCTACAATAGTTTTCCCACAGAAATATGGCAGACCCCCTCTTCTCCCCCCGCAAAACACCCCACTCTTACTTAGAGCACCAATTCCCACAGAAATATGGCAGACCTCCTCTTCTCCCCCCCACAAAACACCCCACTCTTACTTAGAGCACCAATGTCTTTATTACTATTAAAAACCCAAACATATATATAATCAAACATTACTGCTTAAGGACTCCATACCTCTGAGAAAGCCTCAGGTCTGCACAAAATAGCCCAGTTACGGCAACGAGTCTTATTTTAATTCTATATAATTTCAGGATGACCACAAGTTGGAGAATTTCTCTTGGCAGTGGTCATGAAATTCAAACAGAAAGAAAGACACTGTTAATGGAATATCCAGGCAAACTTCTGTTGTTAAGACAGATTTATTAAGCCTCTAAATACCAGCACCACCACATCCATCATGAATCAAAAGCACTATGGTCTGCCTCAGTATTACACTTAAAGGCCCACTTTCTCTTAGCCAACAATATGTATTTTAGTTCAGTATTATTTATTGAAGTGATAGATTTGCTATCTAGATGTAACCTTGGCCTCTAAGGTTGAAATTATTTACCAGTTGTCAGGTTGATTTGCTCATTTACACTCACTGACAGATTCCCCTTGGTCTTCTCCAGCTATTTGACATTGCAGTTTTGGGACAGTTTGTGAAAGCTAAACTAATTCAGTTGTGCACAAAGGTACCAGATGTATTTTTACACAGGTCTGTGCCATGCTATTACCCATCTCCATGCTACCAACGATGTATTTTGGAATCTTTTCATCTAGCAATGCTCTCTTGAAAGCCTGAAACCATGACAGTTTAGTCTAATAGTCTATGTTGCTTATGTGGACATTTGAAGAGCATCTCACTGGGTATCTTTTTTCTGGTCAGCACTGCATCCTGGACATTAGCAACACAAGTGAGATACGTGAAATTTCTATCTAAGACCATCAGATGCAGCGTGGACATTTGAACAGCATCTCACTGGGTATCTTTTTTTGTGGCCAGCACTGCATCCTGGACATCAGCAACACGAGTAATATATATGAAATTTCTATCTAAGACCATCAGATGCAGACATGAGGATTTTACAAGCCATACACTATGACCAAATTCCAACAAGTGGTATTCCATCTACTGAGACTCAGAGCTGGCCGCTTTTAAGGTGGTTTTTGGTGGTTTTTTTTTCAGATATTCTAAAGCACCACTCAAAATCTTTCTTACCATTCACCCAAAAATTAGAGTGGTGAGTTAAGAACGATGAGGACAACAGTGAAGAAACAGGAGTCAAAGGAATACAAACACAGAATGATGAGGACAACAGTCAGAAGGAGTCTGAAGAAACAGGAGTCAAAGGAATACAAACAGTACAGACAGTCTGCAGCCCAAAAGCAGAGGAGCATTATACCAAAACCTGAACTAAGCCAGTACACGTTAATAACTATTACTGATGGGGTTACCGGAATTCTGATCCTCACTATGCATCTGGGAGATTAAATATCACAAGTGTTGGCTGTGAAACAACAGAGACTTTTCTTTGGTGCTCCTGGCACAACTGTGGTCCAAGAACTGAGCCTCACTACACTTTAGACACAGCCAGACTTCTTAAAAATTTGGCAAGAGTATGATCCCTATGAAACAACTGCATGCTACATCCCTCTAAAACTTCTGTTCGTTATCTAGGTGAGGTTATGAGTATCTTTATATAATGTTTTAGGCATATAACAAAGAATATATAGCATATAGTTAGCTCTTACTCAGCAAGTGGTGACCATATCATTGAATCACACGAACAAGGACCTGAACAACTGGAATTGCAAGTGTTGGCTGTGAAACAAGGGAGACTTTTCTTTGGCGCTCCTGGCACAACTGTGGTCCAAGAACTGAGCCTCACTACACTTTAGACACAGCCAGACTTCTTAAAAATTTGGCAAGAGTATGATCCCTATGAAACAACTGCATGCTACATCCCTCTAAAACTTCTGTTCGTTATCTAGGTGAGGTTATGAGTATCTTTATATAATGTTTTAGGCATATAACAAAGAATATATAGCATATAGTTAGCTCTTACTCAGCAAGTGGTGACCATATCATTGAATCACACGAACAAGGACCTGAACAACTGGAATTTTGTATCTTCAAATTTCTGCATGATGTCTAGAGGCAGAAACCGATTTTATGATGACCTGAAATAGAATTAAAACACTGTCATATACTATTCATTTTAAAACTTATCTGAAGCATTTTTATTGTATCAACATTAGCTTCCTCTCCTCACCAAGAGGAACATATTTGTTAATTACCCTCGCAGATCAAAAAGTCATATGGAATGAAAACTCATTTTGAAGAGGAATCTTTAGCAGGCAAAGGAAAAAAAATCAACATCTGGTGGCCTAAAGTTGGAGAAAGCACCAAAGTAAACAAAGTATCTATTTAATTTTAAGGATATGGTGTATTTTGGGAAATCTGACTACGTAGGACAGATTTTGATAGTGAGGACTCCTGTATTAGAACCTGAACGTGGGACTAGTATTTGTGCTCTGCTACCTTTTATAGTCTTCATTAAGACAAAGCCCATAGGAAGTGGCGTAAGTTCCCTCAATTCCAAAATAAAGTTAGTTGTCAGTATTTGGTAGCTCGGCTGAGCAGACCATTGATTCAGATTGCTCATCTCTTAGCAAATCATAGGGCAGAAAACCAAACTTTCAATTCACTTATAAAGAGAAGTCTTTGAGTATGTTAAAAAGCTGTTGAAACTGACGGGGGATGAAGGGGTGGGCTGTGCCATAGGGCACTGCGTAGGAGACAGGAGCAGATAGTCAGTGCACTTGGCAACACCATTTGCAGGATAAATAATAAAGTCATAGAATTAAAGAATAGTTTGAATTGGAAGGGACCTTTAATGGTTTTGTCTAGTCCAACCCCCTGCAATGAGCAGGGACATCTGCAACTAGATCCGCTTGCTCAGACCTTGAATGTTTCCAGGTATGGGGCATCTACCACCTCTCTGGGCAACCTGTGCCAGCGTAAAAGACTGTTCAAAGGCCACCACGCCAGCCCACTCACCTAAAGGGACACCCTAGAGTGTACAGGGTCTCATCAAGCTGGTCCCAATACCATATAAATTCTGGTGAATATCCAGCACAGAAAGCTGTGATAATGGTAAACTAATTAGTGGTGACCACAAAAAAAAAATGTAGGAAACTCTCTCACAGCTTTAACCCAAGACTCAGTATTTCTTTTAAAGACAATAATCTGTCGTTCAGAAGCATTTATGAAGCTGCTGGAAGTTCCAGGGCGTTATCTGTGTAAAGGAAGTGTGGTTAGATCACCACAATAGTTTAAACTATGGCTAGAAGCCATAAGAAAAATGAAAGCTTTTTTACATTTTGAAGTTCCTACCTGATTTAGAGACATTTATACTCAAATAATCTCTCTGATAAGAGTGAGGAAAACTCATCCAAAGACCTGCACTATGGCAGGATTCTGTGATTAGGTGTAGCCCAACCCTGAGCTAACGATCATCTCATTTGTGTACAAAAAGCTATTGAGAAGGAGATTCCACTGCTTCAGAAGTGTAGGGCAGATCATGTAGTCTCAGACTCCAGGAGTTATCTGTGATGTTCCATCAATGTATTGGGTAGAACTGGATTCTTGATTTGCATAATCTTTAACCAGAGTAAGCATTCGTTCAAAACTGAAGCCAAATAAAGAGAGTAAGTAATAATTTAACATCTAAGCTCAGATTTAACATTTAAGAAGAGATTGTAACCGAGCACCGTATCAATTTGCCAGCAAAAGCAAGGCAAAGAAACTTGAACAGCTTTATATACACACACACAAAGTATCACATAACTGGTTCAAAGTAGGAACCAATTTCCAGAGGTGATGAACACCTCCACACATCCCTTAATTTCATGGGAATTATGCACACTGTGAGCAAACTACTGATGCCACACAAACCCCTATATCCAAGGTAGTTGGTTCTTCGTCTGAAATTGCCCTCCCACCCCCTACAATAACAGCAAACAGTAACAAGAGCTTCTGTTTCCCCAAATTTAGTCAAGCTTCCTTTTATACAAAGAACATGAAGACGTACCAAATGAATACAGAATTTTACAAGCTGAAAGAGTAATCATTTCAAAGTGAAGAGACATGATACAAAAGAAACAAGACTGAGTCCACATATAAAATTACAGGTTGATGTTATCTTTAACTATTTATAGGAAAGCTGATGTCTGGTATGCAATGATGTTAAAAAGTAAGTTTCAAGAAAGCTTTACTACAAAAAAGAAATGAAATTTGGTGAAGTTTAACAAATTTCATAGCTTTAGCTCCTGTGAAAATACTACTTTACTTGAAATGCTTTCAGAATTTCAAATTTCTGAAAAGCAATTTTTTCAAGCCTTAAGTAGTCTGCTACAGCTGTTCTCCGAAATGAAGTAGTAGCCTGCATAACATAGAAAAAACCCATACTTTCTCCACTTTTTTTTCTTCTTTTTTTACATCAAGGAAGAATGAGAAGTGCTCCCAAAACAAAGTTATTTTACAATTTTAAAAGCTTACTACAGAAAAAAAAATGTACATTCCTTTCTTTCCTTGTGACTATACTATATTTTAAGTAAGACTGTGCCTGAATTCAGAAAATGCTCGATGTTTTAACTGCACAAGCATTAAATGTTGTCATATTTATCACAGAAAAGTCCGATGGCAAACTTCAATGGCATCAACCTTCACATTATGACATGGGAAAGCAGTCGTTCAGTTGCACTCAGATTGTTGCCTGCACCATGGAAAAGTTGCATTTAACCTGGAATCCAGTGAGAACTCACCCTGACCTTTTACAGTTCCCTGAAAACACTTTTCTACACTTTTATATAAACCAACCGACACACAGGATGAACAGCTCTTCAGTTCTTTCGTTGACTATAAAAAGCAGGTTTTCTTTAAATCAATAGCTTAATAGTTATGATAAATATAGCTTCTGCCACTTTTCTTGCTTGTAATTCAGCGTAATGCTTCTTGATACCTCAGTCATCATCTTGCTGATTTCTTTTCTGTCAACAGAACAGGAGAATTCACAATGTTAGGACACAGTTATCTGAAATAAGAGCACTAATAAAACATGACAAGTGTTTCCAGATACAATGGATATTAGACAATGACTGCATTTCTAAGCCATTTTTTGAACGGTAAGAGTATAATAATATTTCCAGCAGACAGAACAAAGCAACATAACCCTCTCCCCCATCCCAAACTTTAGGATTTTATTTCCAGTAAAGAACAACATTGGCCCTGTATATTAGCCAATAGACTAGATGAGAACCAGAAAACACAATGGCAGCGGCAGAAGTCACTGGTCAAGACGAAGGCAAACTGCCCTCCCCACTCTGGCTCACAGAGATCTCAAGTTTTCGTGTCACTTATCAAAGGAACTAAGAAACTGAATTGAAAAAGGACCAAGCGTTTAAGGTTTTTTCCTAATATACTTACCTTCTATCTTTTAAAAAGTTCTTAAAAGTGTTAGCTTCAGTAATTAAAAAAATACATTTCCATTTAGACTACATTTATATTTTATTTGTATTTTAAGAAAGAAAACAGTAGGTCCTTCAGTAAGATTTGTCAAACTTCATTCATTGCTTCCCCCCAAGATAAAAAAGTGAGATCAGTATGAAAGCTTGCTCTTCATGACCTAAAAAAAATAAATATATATATCTATATATAAAATCAAGCCAACAATACATTGTATGATGGCTTCATACATTACTTTTTCTGTAATTGTATAACCTATGTTAACTACAAAGGCACAATTCCAGGCACTTTGATGTTCCCATTTCACAGACATGGAAGGTTAGAAGGTTTTTTTACTACTTCTTACCAGTTTAAGAAAGTCGATTAATTTGTGAACATCCTCTCCTGTAGAAAGGTCCACAAAATCTTTCGGCAGTCGGTAACTCAGGTATGGACTGGGCTGGACAGTAACTTTACTGTTTGTACAACGGAAAACCGGATAGTCCTTTGGGAAAAATATTGGATAAGACAAGAATAGCATATGTGAATGAAGCTTCCAACATTTCTTGAACTCCTCTGTGACATTGCCTGAGCCACTTTGCCAATAAGTTTATTTGGCATTCATTCAACTAAACCTGCGCCTTCTAAAAATTGTACCTTTCTTATTAAAATCTCTGCCGACTTAAGAGCAAAAAGTTAAAATGTTAATAACAGTCAGCTGAAGGCAGTCATTCCCTCACTTTAAAGTTCCTACTATGTATCATTTATTAATGCATTTAATATACATACACTTATAACACTGCTGTAATAATGGGGCTATAAGGAACTTGGGCACTAGTATCTATAAAAATATGAGGATAAAGAAAATCTTTAAAGGAAAAATAAAATAAAATTTAAAAATTGGTGGTCGTCACCCTCTCAGAAGGAATACAACTATGGTATCCACCTGACAGAAAGTCATGTCATCTGCTCTTGGCAGAAAGGATGTGGAAACCCAGACAGAGCTGCCACAAGAACATGCAGCCACCCAGGCCTGGGGCTGCAGGGAGCACCAGAGCCTTTCACTGGTACCAGATGGAGCAGTGAGAGCAGCAGTGTGAGGTGTGACCAGGTGGACCATCTGCTCAGCCTGGTGGCAGAGCTACAGCAGGAAATAGGATGGTTAAGGAGCATCAGGGAGTCTGAGAAAGAGATAGATTGGTGGAACCATGCTCTGCCCTCCCTGAGAGAGAAATGAGAACAACCACCAAGAAAAACTCAAGAGGATCCTGTATCCTCCCTCCAAGAGGCTGAAGGCAGCAGGTCAGGGGAGGTAATTCTGCCCCTCTGCTCTGGTGAGAACCCATCTGGAAGCTCTGGAGCCCCCAGCACAGGAAAGACGTGGACCTGTTGGAGCAGGTCCAGAGGAGGCCATGAAGATCATCAGAGGGCTGGAGCACCTCTGCTACGAGGACAGGCTGAGAGAACTGGGGTTATTCAGTCTGGAAAGGAGCAGGCTCTGGGGAGTACCTTCAGTACTTAAAGGGAGCCTAAAGGCAAGATGGGGACAGATTTTTTACCAGGGCCTGTTGTGACAGGACAATGGGTTCTGGCTTTCAACTAAAAGAGGGTAGATTTAGACTAGATGTAAGGAAGAAATTTTTTATCCTGAGGGTGATGAAACAGTGGCCCAGATTGCCCAGAAAGGTGGAAATGCCCCATTCCCTGGAAACATTCAAGGTCTGGTTGGACGAGACTCTGACCAACCGGATATAGTTGAAGATGCCCCTGCTCATTGCAAGGGGGTTGGACTAGACGACTTTTAAAGGTCCCTTCCAACCCAAACTATTCTATGATTCTATGATAATTTTTACGATAGAATCTCTAAACTTGTCTTCACAGATTCCTTGTTTAAACCCATATTTGCAAATATAACATAACCAAAATTACGATCTAAGGTTTCCAACTGATTTACTCATTGAAGGAATAAATACCTCTATAAAATATCAAAAAAAAAAAACCCTCTAAACACTCAATTGTAGCAAAAGGTTTTGGGCAACTTGATATATTTTTCAATTTAACACACCGACACGCAACATAATTGCCCACTGTATGGCAATAGGCAGCTTTGTTTTAAAGACAGAAGTCCAGTGACTTCACATCAGATTCCGTGACGGGATGTAAGCTGAAGCATGAGGACAAGCTGGTCTGCTCTTCATTCAGGCTTATGCCAAGGAAAGCTGTGTAAAGCGTCTGGCACTGAGCAAAGAGAAACCCTTAAAACAAAATTCGTGTGTCCCAGGGACAGCTCAAGAATCAGGAGTGTGTTTTAACAAAGGAGAGACAGCTTTTAGCAGGAAGGCTCGTTGAACGGATTTTCATACAACAATAACCACGCGGTGAGACTAAGAGAAAACGGCAGGAATGTTACCCCACAGAGTGGTGTATTTCCCTTTCAATGTCTGCTGAAAACGGCGACAGAACTAAAGCCAGCCTCAAATGTTAAAATCAGCTCAATAAAGCACCTCATTTCAGTTACTTCTAATGCAATTTAATGGTGAGAAAATGAAGAAAAGCCCATGCTATCTGACTAGCCATCTCTCCTCAGCCAACTGCCAAGCATTTCCCAAGATCAAGTAAAATCTTACATTATATCTTCTATCCAGCTGTTCAAGGACTCATTAAGATGTGAGGACTCGGTCTCAAATACACAGTGAAGAAAACCAAGCTGGAGTACAAATAAAGACTATTCCTCCCTCTCTGTATTAACGGGAAGTTATTTGTTTTTACAAAGGCAGTGCAGCTTGGAAGAGGGATAGAAAAGCCCTGCTCTGCAAGTCCAGGGAGTTCAACCAGAGGACAAGGCTTCCCTGAGGGTATTTCGATATGAGGAAGAGACAGAAGTTAAGCTCCTTTTTGCCTGCCCCCAAACATCAATCTGGAGCTCTGGGAAACCGGATGACAGAACAAAGCAGAACTTTAGGTGATTAAATAGAAAAGTAACAGATTTTATGAGAAATTGAAAAGAGCACAGAAAAATCAAGTTTCAGGGCATCTTCTTCGCAATGTGGTCAAAGCTGTGATATGGTACTGGTTTGAAATGGAAATTCCCTTGCAGGCATCTAAACCCAGCATGCAATACCTGTTGAGGTTAACTACTCTCTAATAAGGTAGATTCCACTTACAAATAGTTTACATTTCATGAGTTAAGGACATCCATTTACTTCAATGGGATTTTCATCACAGAATCACAGAATCTTCTAGGTTGGAAGGGACCTTAAAGATCATCTTGTCCAACCGTCAACCTAACTGACAAAAATAGACACCCACACAACAAACAAGGAGCATCATCACTAAACCATACCTCCCAGCACTACATCAACCCGTCTTTTGAACACCTCCAGGGATGGTGCCTCAACCACCTCCCTGGGCAGCCCATTCCAATGCCTGATAACCCTTTCAGTGAAAAAATTTTTCCTAATATCCAGCCTGAACCTACCCTGGCGCAAATTGAGGCCATTTCCTCTCGTCCTTTCACCTGTGACTTGAGAAAAGAGACCGACCCCCACCTCTCTACACCCTCCTTTCAGGTAGTTGTAGAGAGCAATAAGGTCTCCCCTCAGCCTCCTCTTCTCCAGGCTGAACAACCCCAGCTCCCTCAGCCTCTCCTCATAAGACTTGTTCTCCAGACCCCTCACCATCTTTGTCGCCCTTCTCTGGACCCGCTCCAGCACCTCAATGTCTTTTTTATGTTAGGGGGCCCAAAACTGGACACAGTACTCAAGGTGAGGCCTCACCAGTGCCGAGTACAGGGGGACAATCACCTCTCAGGCCCTACTCGCCACGCTGTTCCTGATACAGGCCAGGATGCTGTTGGCCTTCTTGGCCACCTGGGCACACTGCTGGCTCATGTTCAGCCGACAGTCGACCAACACCCCCACAATCACAATTTGATTATAACAAAAAAAAAGAAAGAAAAAAAATAACCACAGAAAAAGGCCATAAGGCCTGTTGATCTGGTAGCCAGCCTCCCTCAGCACAGGGCTGTACCTGTTCTGTTGCTTCCCCTTCGCTCTGGTCTTCCTTCAAGTTTTTCCCGGAGGTCAGTTCTTCCCATGTGAAGAGCAAGGAGTCTGTTACTTCGCCAAACGGGTTAAAATCTATTAACCAGATCTTACCCTGCAATGGAACAACAGCAGAATTAAAACAAGCCACAGAATTAAAACAAAAATTCAGAAAAGGAAAAAAAAATCCAAATACACATATATTACTGGAGTATGCTTGGTCCTCAGATAAAAAGATGTCAAAATTACTATCACCCGGTTTTAAGCACTTAAAATATTCTAACATCTTTTACATTAGACACAGGTTTAAAACAAAGCAAGCTATGACTTACTAATTTATTTTATTTTTTTTAAAAAACAGAATACCAGAAAGAGCTCAAATGAACTGATTTCAGTTCTATGCAAGGTGCTTTTAGATGAGACCACAGAAGCTCTATCTAATCCCCATGGTCCCCCAAGATCCCCAAACAGCATGAACAAGGAATGGAGGGGGAACCACCAGAACCCAAACAAAAAACTCCACCCAAACAGGGATTTTGCTTTCCATCAAAAGCCACCTCAACACAGCTGCACATTCAGCAGTCTGCAAGAATTGCTATTCTTGGTCTTGGAAGGAACTCTAAAAATACAGAGCTGCATCTACAAAATGCTACTGGACATCATGAAAGCTGAAAGGAGCTGCACAGATAGAGATAAATACAGAATAACTTAAAGGCATTTTTAATATAGTCATTAATAGTAGTCCAGACTAGTTTCTTCTGCCTCATCTTTAACACATTTGTGTTCCAAACAGTTCTGGTAGTGTGCACAACTGCATGCCTGTTTTATAACTGAAAAATGAAAGCTACTGAAAGCAACTGAAGAAACTGAAAAAGAGAAACTAACATGACATATTAAAGTTAAGAGAGATGTCTGTAGGGGAGCAAGAAATAGTTTGCGTTGAATCATCTCAAGACATAACCCCCAGCACAGGGCCATCTTTTCTTACCCCAGAAAGTGTCATCTATTCCAATAAAACAAAACATAATAAATTATAATGAAATAAGACTACAACTGATAGTAAGAATTTGCAAAACAAGGTTTACATCTGGAAGAAATCAGATCTATAATTATGGAAAGAAAAAAGGTTGCTGTAACATAAGCAGGACTGAAGGGTTTTACTGTGTTTATTATAAAGATCAACTGGAATTGGAAGCCAAGCCTGAAGACTGCACTGCTACTGAAAAAAAAAAAAAAAAAACCCAAAAAAACCCCACACCACAAAACTAACTTATTTTCATTTCTCTTTCTTCCCCTCATTCCTGAAGGATCTTCTTTCTTTAAAAGATCTTCCCTATCTTGATACAAACAGCAAATACCTTCCACGATTTACGCTACAGCCATCTGGTCCCTCACTTACAGGGATGCTTTTGAAGCCTTCAGTCACAGAGTGACATGGAGGCTTCCTCTCCCACCCACGCTACCCCAGCCACCCCCCCTGCAATCCCTGATGCACTTCAGAATAGGGAACGCATGGAAACCTGTACAACAGAGGACAGAAATGCTCTGGCTGGTCTGTTATCATCCAGATCCAGTTACCCGTGCAGGCAGGGGCAGTCCCAGCACAGATGAAACCAATGCTATTACTTGCAGACTGGAGGTGAGCCAGCAGCCTGAGCGGTGAGCATGTGGTTGCACACAGGCTTTCACAGGTCTCTCTCTCGGGGCACATCCACGAGGTACAACTCTCGCAGAGCGCATTTGAAGAAGCCAATGCACCACAACAGCAGTACTAAAAATCAGAGGGCTACAAAAGAAATTGCAAATTGTGGGGACACAGACCCGAGTGGTTTCTTAGTTGTTTTTGGAAGGGTGAAGAAGCACAAACCTGTGTGGCTCAGCTGCAACACCTCTGCATCAATACTGACACCAGCAGTGCAGAGAGTGAGCAGGGGCAAGCTCTACTATCATTTTCCATCTCTGCTCCTCTTCAAAAGGCAGTCACAAATTCTCATTATAAGTGATGTTTTACTTTTGCTAATGGGGACATCTTGTTAGCTCCAAGGCAGCAGGAAGAGGAATCTGTAATTTTAGATTCATTCTATCACGCTAGAAAAACAAGCTAATGAACCAATTTAATCCAGACAGAAGCAATGGCTGGCAAAGTTCATTCAGCAGTTCAGAGACTCTTTCCTTGCATCAGAAACGTTTATGCTCAACAAAGGACTTCCCCATGAAAGGCTTTCACAGAGACTCCTCCTCACCCCAAATACGCGAAACGCGGCTTTTTCACAGGAACTCAAGATCATTTCTCTAGAGAAGAAATGGAAAAAACTGAAAATTGGTTTTGAGGCTACCGAAAGCAACACCTGTGCTTTGTGTATTTCTCCCTCCCTGCAGACAGCAGTACACCATCCACAACATCAACTGCTTCCTTGAGACAGTCTCAAATCTGCACTGAGCTTTGGTAGCTGCAAATTGATGGGAAATGGCAAAACAAACTAAATATCCCTTTTCAGGACTCATTAAAGGGAGTGTACTCTGGGTCAGTAACCAAACTGCCTTTTCTTAAGATTAAATGCTCTTTCAAGTCTTACACGCCATGTCATGATTTAAATGTAGTTTCAGGCGACTTACACTGAGTATCTAAAGAGCAGCAGTAAAACTATTTATCTGCCACATTCTGATATTAATAATCTTTGTCATATGAGAGGACAGAAATGCACAAGCCAGGAAAGCAAAGTTGAGCATATCTGCAGGGGAAAGAAAACCCACCAACCTGTATTACATAATTTATTTAATTTTTTCCTCATCCTACTACGGGAACCAACAGATTCACTGTATCATGTCAACTTCACGCTTTGTTTTACTAAAGCATTAGGCAACGTGCTGCTGAAAGGAAGCGTCGATGACAAAGACTGTTTAAAGGAAGTTAAAAGATAGATAAAATGCAAACAGAACTGTTACATCCCCCTCACTCCAGCTGCACCTCCATGCCCGGTGACAATGCTCACAAGGCAGAGACACAAGCACGGGTTTGCAGGTTAACTGGTTGCAGCTGTGAGGCTGCTCTGGAGCCACTCACCACCTTTCTTTGTCTTACCACAGTGACTCGCCTTGAACACGGTCACAAGTTGTTAATACCTGGGAGATACCCAAAGAGCAACAGCAGAGCTGATTCTCATCAGCTGTTGCACAACAATTGTGAACTGCTAGCAGCTAAAAAAAAAAAATAATAAAAAAATAAAAAAAGGAGTGGATCCAAATGAAAACAGGCTACCAGTCCTGCAACATAACCCCCTCGGGACTGGGTCTCTACATCATCAAGAAGACTGTGTGACAGTGTTTCTTCCTTAAAAAGATGACTTGTCTGCAAAGTCAGGCACTCGCTCAGATGAGCTGGGTAAAGACAGCGTAACAGGAAAAGCAGACACATAAAAGCTTGCTCTCCACCCTGCCATCGCTGCTTCTATGTCACCCTCCAACCTGTGGCAGCCTGCTCCGTGCAGCCTCTCAAGTAACCAAAATTGCTCGCTTCAGTTACTTGGGGAAGGGGCTGCTCCCATTCACAACCATACCAAAGAATGAGCTTCTCCAAGCTGAGTATTCAGGGTTGAAATAATTTAAAATAAGCAGACACTGGACATTTCTCTCATTCTGTAGGTGAGGTTGCCGTGCAACCAGCCCGAGGAGGAGCACGGGCTCTGGAAATTAATCACACTCAGCAACACTCAATATTCTTTAGCTGCCTGTAACTCACATACAAAGGAGCGATGAATAATACAGTTGCAAAACCACAAAAGTATGTGTGAAAGGAGGAGGATCTGACACACAAAGGGCTATCTAGCAGTTTACAAGACCTGAGGGTAGAAGGCAGCAAGAGATATCTACAAACAGATATATTTTATCTTGACAGAAGAAGAAACACTGCTCATTTGAGATTACACAGGCTGAAACCTTTCACTTGAATAATGCCTCTTCATGCCTCAGCTGGGAGGCAGAGTTCCCAATGGCAGGACCTGCTTCAACACTGAAGTGTTGCTCCTCATTTTGCCCAAGAGCATCCTGAAGTCTGAAGATCTGAACCTGGGCAGGTCATTTTCATTACCGTTCAGCACAGCTGTTTTTAGCCTGTAGCCTGATTTTAGATAAGTACGCTAAAAGTTGTGCTGAGTAAGAGCACAACAGTTGTTTTCCACATGACACACATTCCTGTTCAGTTTCTGTTTTGTAAACTGATTGATTACAGAATTGACTGTTACAGAATTACAAGATACTTTAGCAACATTCAAAGCTAGAATCAGAACTTACTACAAGTACTCAACACAAATAAAGACCTTCTCCAGCCCCTAACTGTAAACAAGTCAAACAGTAAGACTCATGTATGCAGGAAAAGTATACAGCCATTTTTTTTTCCATTTCCGGTTTAATATTTGGAAAGAATTTAAGCTAAAACAAAGACTTACTTTCTATGCACTAACGTGATTCCCAAAATCAGGTTGTGAGATTGAAGGCTGCAGAATGCATTTTTGGTTGCAGCTGCTTTTAAAACAATACACATGTGCCTTCCATGCACAATTCATCTGACCTATTTCTCTCCATTGACACTAGGAGAGGTCAAGGTGACTAACTGACAGGGGGGCCTGAAGTTCAGATGGGACATTTCTCCCCACTCTGTCCCTATCTGGATGTTCAGGGTTCTGATCGGAGAACTCACAACCACACACAGCTGGAGCAGTTTGAAAAGAAAAAAAATAGCTTCTATCTGTCACAAACTGGGAATGCCACATTCATATACTCATTTGACAACCATCCCTTTGGACCCTAGACTTCCACATATGAAGTTATCTTTTTCAAACCTCACATGGATAATCTATTAATGATTCATTTTGAGAAGTTCAGATGCTATAAGGGAAAACATTACAGGGGAAAAAAAAAGCCCAAGGAACAATTTTTTTAATAAAAATTGCCCAAATTATTTTTTTTTTTTAGTGAGAGAAATATCATCCCCACCTTATTTTTTGAAATATCACAACCATTCCTGCTGAACGTCCAGATACATTTCTGTCAAAAGCGCTCAGAGTAAGCACTATGCAGAGGGAACCTTAGCAACACGTAGTGCTCTGCTAAAACAAT